GTTGCCTCCGAAAAATCCTGCAAATCTCTTGGGAAGACAAGCAGACAAATGTCAGCATGCTGGAAGAAGCACTGAAGTGATGGTCCTCCGCCATCAACTCCACTGGACTGGCCACGTTGTCCGGATGCCCGACCACCGTCTCCCAAAGAAGTTGCTCTACTCCGAACTCAAGAACGGAAAGTGGAATGTTGGTGGGCAGGAAAAGAGATTGAAAGATGGGGTCAAAGCCAACCTTAACAACTCTGGCAGAGACACTGAGAACTGGGAACCCTTGAGTGCTGTAGCTGGAGGTCAGCTGTGACCAGCAGTGCTGTAGAATTTGAAGAGGCACGAATGGAGGGTGAAAAAGAGAAACGTGCCAAGAGGAAGGTGCATCAAGCCAACCCCGATTGGGACCGCCTTCCACCTGGAAACTCTTTTCCAGGTTTGCAAACTCTTTTCCCTTCTGTGCCCGCAACCGTTCGTCCCTTGCCAAACTACAACTCCCAGTATCCGATTGCCTGGAACCGTGGCAATCCAAGTGTTACCAAAGTGCATTCATTGCAACAGCAAAAGGGGTTTGTTGCATCTTCTCCCCAGATACAAGCGTGCCGTTCCGTGTTTCTATATGCGATGGAATCTCGCCCCTCTTTCCATCTGCTCCGGTCTTATTTTAGATGCAGCATTCCCGCCTTCCTTGCCTTGCATCCCAGCCAATTTGGGGATGTCATCCGTGGAACAGGTGCCTCTCCCGCCTGATTTATCTCTGGGCCGTTATTTGCCTCTTTCACTGGGCGATGAGTTCCGATTCCGACAATCCCAGGTCCAAACGCTTCGGCCGAGACGGCGGAAAAGTTGGCAAGGGCACGCTTTTTCATGTTGTTGCCAACCCTGAGAGCTATATATCAACGTACATAAGTCCTCAGGAAAAGTGGGCAGTGGCCACAACCGCAATTGTGACAACCACAACCACGCTCGTGGCACTGGTAAGGAAATTTCCAACAGCTGTGTAAGATGATACGGATGTGAAATTCTGAAAAGTTCACGCAGACGGGCGGGTACGTGCCATCATCTGGGCATGTTTCCGTGGATGCAGGACATCATTTAGGATCTCAGAGATGGAAGAGGCCTCCCAAAGGTCATGTAGACCAACCCCATTCTGCCATCTTTTAGGAGAGGGCCAGATAAGCCTATAGGTGGATGGGGTCCCTAAAGGTCATCTAGTCCAACCCCATTCTGTCATCTTTTAGGAGAGGGCCAGAGAAGTCAATAGATGGAAGGGGTCTTTAGAGGTCATCTAGTCCAACCCCATTCTATCATCTTTTAGGAAAGGGCTATATAACTCTAGAGGTCATCTAGTCCAATCCCATTCTGCCATCCTTTATGAGAGGACCAGAGAGGTCTATAGATGGAAGAGATCCCTAGAGGTCATCTAGTCCAATCCCATTGGACCAGAGAAGTCTATACATGGAAGGGATCCCTAGAGGTCACCTAGTCCAACCCCATTCTGCCATTTTTTTATGAGAGGACCAGAGAAGTCTATAGATGGAAGGTACCTAGAGGTCATCTAGTCCAATCCCATCGGGCCAGAGAAGTATATACATGGAAGGGATCCCTAGAGGTCACCTACCCAACCCCATTTTACCATCTTTTATGAGAGGACCAGGGAATTCTATAGATGGAAGGGACACCTAGAGGTCATCTAGTCCAACCCAATTTCGTAATATTTTATGAGAGGGCCAGGGAACTCTATAGATGGAAGGGACCCCAGAGGTCATCTAGTCCAACCCCATTTTGCCATCTTTTATGAGAGGACCAGGGAACTCTATAGATGGAAGGGGTCTTTAGAGGTCATCTAGTCCAACCCTATTCTATCAATTTGTAGGAAAGGGTCAGATAACCTTGAGGTCATCTAGTCCAATCCCATTGGACCAGCGAAGTCTATACATGGAAGGTATCCGTAGAGGTCATCTAGTCCAATCCCATTTTGCAATATTTTATGAAAAGACCAGAGAAGTCTATACATGGAAGCGATCCGTAGAGGTCATCTAGTCCAACCCCATTTTGCCATCTTTTATGAGAGGATCAGGGAACTCTATACATGGAAGGGATCCCTAGAGATCATCTAGTCCAATCCCATTCGACCATCTTTTAGGAAAGGGCAAGACAACCCTAGAGGTCATCTAGTCCAATCCCATTGGACCAGAGACATCTATACATGGAAGGGATCCCTAGAAGTCATCTAGTCCAATCCCATTTTGCAATCTTTTATGAGAGGATCAGGGAACTCTATAGATGGAAGGGATACCTAGAGATCATCTAGTCCAATCCCATTCGATCATCTTTTAGGAAAGGGCAAGATAACCCTAGAGGTCTTCTCGTCCAATCCCATTGGACCAGAGAAGTCTATAGATGGAAGGGATCCCTAGAGGTCACCTAGTCCAACCCCATTTTGCCATCTTTTATGAGAGGACCAGGAAACTCTATAGATGGAAGGGATCGCTAGAGGTCATCTAGTCCAACCCCATTCTGCCATCTTTTAGGAGAGGACCAGAGAAGTCAATAGATGGAAGGAGTTCTTAGAAGTCATCTAATCTAACCCTATTCTGCCATATTTTATGAAAGGACCAGAGAAGTCTATAGATGGAAGGGATCCCTAGAGGTCATGTAGTCCAACCATATTCTGCCATCTTTTATGAAAGGACCAGAGAAGTCTCTAGATGGAAAGGATACCTAGAGGTCCCTAGAGGTCATCTAGTCCAACCCCATTCTGTCATCTTTTAGGAAAGGACCAGAGGTGAGGTGGAAGGGATCCCTAGAGGTCACTTAGTCCAACCCCATTCAGCTACCTTTTATTAGAGGACCAAAGAACTCTACAGATTGAAGGGATCCCTAGATGTCACCTAGTCCAACATCCCTTCATTCTATAAGATCTTTTATCCTTCCCTAAAAGATGGTGTAATAGGGTTGGACTAGATGACCTTTAGGGATCCTTTCTACCTATAGAGTTCTCTGGTCCTCTCATTAAAAATGGCAGAATGGGATTGGATTAGATGACCTCTAAGTACCCCTTCCATCTATTGACTTCTTTGGTCCTCTCCTAAAAGATGGCAGAATGGGGTTGGACTAGATGACCTCTAGAGATCCCTTCCATCTATAGAATTCCCTTGTCCTCTCATAAAAGATGGCACAATGGGGTGGGATAAAGGATCTTATCGAATGAAGGGATGTGACAAAGGTTATTTTTATCTGATCCCATTCTGCCATCTTTTAGGAGAAGAGTAAAGAGACTCGTAGACATTCAAAGGACCCCCAAAGGTCATCTAGTCCGTGCAGGAATATGGGGCTACAACACTCCTCTATTTTTAATATTTTCAAAAAAAAGGAGAATAAACTCCAAAACCACCAATGGGAGCAAAAAAATGGGGAATGGTCCTCTAGTTTGTGTTTAATGACAACCAGAAAGGGAGACACCTTCCAAAAAAGTTATAAGTTGCATCTACGCTGTCAAACTAATGCAGTTTGACACCACTTGAACTATCACTGATCAAAACTATGGAATCATGGGAGTCGTAGCTTGATAAGGTCTTTAGCTGGTGCTTCACCAAACTACAGATCCCAGGATTACATAGCACTGAGTCGTGGCAATTGAAATGGTGTCGAACCGTATTATTTCTACAGTGCAGATGCACCCTTCCAACCGTAGGAAAGTGCATGCATGGATGTGTGTCGGGTGCCAGCTGCTAAAATAAAATCCAAGCCGCCTCTGGGATGTGCCATTCCGCCCGGCCCGAAATACGACTTTCGGGATCCAAAATATACTACGGCCTATTTTTAAAGAAGCCCTCCCGCCCTGGGACCCTTTCCTTTTGGGGGACAGATCGGGTTGCAAACAGGGCTCAGCTGTTGGAGGAGCCTGGCAAACAGGCCCTGCTCTCTCTCTCTTTCTATCCTTTTCTTCTTTCCCTTCCTTCCTTCCCTCCTTCTTGGATCCAGAAGAGACATTGCAGTCGCTTGGGAAGTGGATACCAAAGCTGGCAGACACCCACCAAGGGAGACATCAAGTGCACATCAAAGAGGTAAGCCTAGCCATATATATATATATATATATATATATATACACACACACACACACACACACACACACACACACACACACACACACATACTAGCTTGGGGACCTGGCGCTGCCCAAGTTATTAGAGAAAGTGGGTAATGGTGGTTCTGTATGCCAAGTTTGGTCATTATTGGTCATTGGATGATGGTTGCATTGTTTTCAGGAAGTGAGTGAAGGTACTTGAAGTCCCATCAGCAGCAGGATATAGAGTGGGTCATGGGGGCTCTGTGTGCCAAGTTTGGTCATTATTGGTCATTAGATGATGGTTGCATTGTTTTCAGGAAGTGAGTGAAGGTACTTAAAGTGCCATCATCCATGGTCCACCCTCCTCCAAACAGCAGCAGGATATAGAGTGGGTCATGGGGGCTCTGTGTTTGGTCTTTATCAGTCATTGGATGAGGGTGGCAGTGGTTTCAGTAAGTGAGTGAAGGTACTTGAAGTGCCATCATCCAAAATCCATCCTTCTTCAAACTGCAGCAGGATGTAGAGTGGGTCATGGGGGCTCTGTGTGCCAAGTTTGGTCTTTATCAGTCATTGGATGAGGGTGGCAGTGGTTTCAGTAAGTGAGTAAAGGTACTGCAAGTCCCATCATCCATGGTCAACCCTCCTCCAAAACTGCAGCAGGATGTAGAGTGGGTCATGGGGGCTCTGTTTGCCAAGTTTGGTCTTGATTGGTCATTAGCTGAGGGTTGCAGCAATCTTGGGAAGGGAGTGGAGGTACTTGAAGTCCCATCATCCATGGCCTGTCCTCCTCCAAACTGCACCAGGACGTAGAGTGGGTCATTGGGGCTCCGTGTGCCAAGTTTGGTCTTGATTAGTCAGTGGTCTCAGAAAGTGAGTGAAGTTACTGCAAGTCCCATCATCCATCTCCAATTTTTTTCCAAATGACACCAGGACGTAAAGTGGGTCATGAGAGGTCTATGTGCCAAGTTTGGTCTTGATAAGTCATTGGATGAGGTTTGCAGAGGTCTCAGAATGTGAGTGAAGGTACTGGAAGTCACATCATCCATGGTCAGCCCTCCTCCAAAACTGCAGCAGTATGTAGAGTGAGGTTGAGGACCACTGCCCTATGATATCTCTTGCCCCATAGGATTAGGGCAGGCCAATCCTATCAAGAAGATAAAAGGTATGGGGAAAGGCGAGCCAGGCCAGTGTTGCCCAATGGGACTTGGCCATTGTCTTCTTGGCCTTGGAGCTCCGTTGAGTCACCCTCAAACTAGATTATCAATCTCTTCTCAAAAAGGAGAAGGTTCAGACCAGTCGTCATCCCAAAAAGACAACGAGAGTGGTGGCTTTCTGACTCCAGTGCAGAGTTACTGAACTATATGGATCCCTTATAGGAAACCCCGAAAGAAGTTGGCCACCACCAGGTAAGAATGAATGGCGCACCGGCTATGTGTACCCCGCAATATGTTCCTTATTTCAGGAACATAGGAAGGAATGATCACCCTTTAGATATATGTTGGTATACTGCAATGGCCAGCTGGACTGCTGACCTGAAGGTTGGGTTGCTGAGCTGAAGGCTGCTGGTTCGAATCCGCGAGACAGGTGAGCTCCCGTCCATCAGCTCTAGCTTGTGGCGACATATGAGAAGTCTCCCAGCAGGATGGTAACACATCCAGACATCTTCCGAAGGTTGGGTTGCTGAGCTGAAGGATGCTGATTAGAATCCGCGAGACGGGGTGAGCTCCCGTCCGTCAGCTCTAGCTTGCGGCGACATGAGAGAAGTCTCCCAGCAGGATGGTAACACATCCGGGCATCTCCCAAAGCTTGGGTTGCTGAGCTGAAGGTTGCCGGTTCGAATCCGCGAGACGGGGTGAGCTCCCGTCCGTCAGCTCTAGCTTGCGGCGACATGAGAGAAGCCTCCCAGCAGGATGGTAACACATCTGGGTTATCTCCTAGGCGCAATGGGTTAAACCCTTGTGCCGGCTGGGCTGCTGACCTGAAGGTTGGGTTGCTGAGCTGAAGGTTGCCAGTTCGAATCCGCGATATGGGTGAGCTCCCATCTGTCAGCTCCAAATTGGGGGGACACGAAAGAAGCCTCCCAGCAGGATGGTAACACATCCAGGCATCTTCTAGCACAATGGGTTAAACCCTTGTGCCAGCTGGGCTGCTGACCTGAAGGTTGCCGGTTCGAATCCGTGAGATGGGGTGAGCTCCCATCCATCAGCTCTAGCTTGCAGGGATATGAATGAGAGAAGCCTCCCAGCAGGATGGTAACACACCCAGTCATGTCCGACTCTGGGATTTGGTGCTCATCTCCATTTCTAAGCCGAAGAGCCGACGTTCTCCATAGACACCTCCAAGGTCATGTGACCAGCATGACTGCATCTTTCCACCAGAGCAGTTCCTATTGATTTACTCACATTTGCATGTTTTCGAACTGCTAGGTTGGCGGAAGCTGGGGCTGACAGCGGAAGCTCACGCTGCTCCCCGGATTCGAACCTGTGACCTTTTGGTCAACAAGTTTAGTAGCCCACTGTACAACTGGAAGCTCCATGAATCTACAGAAGGCCTTCCCAAAATATTACCGTTCTAGAGCTTGCACTGCAAAGCTGCGCACTCGTTTTCAAAGCCAAAGCAAAACAATTATGCATGATCGGAGTCATGGTGCAAATGTTGCTGAGTTTGCTGGGCATGCAATTAAGCTTATACTAAATAATAATAATAATAATAATAATAATAATAATAATAATAGTCTCTGGGATACAATAATATTTCGTCTGTTTCTCCATAACACATTTTTCACATCTTCTCTTCCAGAGTGAAAACCAAAAAAGAAGGAGAGGGGAAATGGGAGTGAGTGACATTTAGAAACTCTGAATGGATTGGAATGGGGAAAGCCACATGTTCTTCGAGGTCATGCCGCTCCATGAACGCTGGAATCATCATTAAGACGCTCTTCCTTCTCTTGTTCTGTAGACATGGTAAGGCTGCGTGGGCTTGGGTTTTTTTCTTTATCTTGTTCTAGAGAAGTGGTACAGCTGCTCAGGATTTTGTTCCTTCTTTATCTTGCTCTATAGAAGATGATAAAGCTGCATAATATTTGTTCCTTTTTTATTTTGCTCTATATACATGCTAAAGCTGCGCAAGATTAGGTTCCTCCTTTATCTTGCTCTTTGCTTTATCTTTCTCTGTATAAGATGGTAAAGCTGTGCAGGATTTGCTTCCTTCTTTATCTTTCTCTATATAAGATGGTAAAGCTGCGCAGGATTTGCTTCCTTCTTTATCTTTCTCTATATAAGATGGTAAAGCTGCGCAAGATTTGGTTCCATCTTTTTCTTTCTCTGTATAAGATGGTAAAGCTGTGCAGGATTTGCTTCCTTCTTTATCTTTCTATATATAAGATGGTAAAGCTGCACAGGATTTGGTTCCTTTATCTTTCCCTATAGAAGATGGTAAAGCTGCGCAGGATTCAGTTCCTTCTTTATCTTGCACTATAGAAGATGGTAAAGCTGCCCAGGATTTGCTTCCTTCTTTATCTTGTTCTACAGAAGTTGGTAAGGCTGCACAGGGATGGCTTCTTCTTTATTTTGCACTAAAGAAGATGGTAAAGCTGTGCAAGATTTGCTTCCTTCTTTATCTTTCTCTATATAAGATGGTAAAGCTGCATAGGATTTGGTTCCTTTATCTTTCTCTATATAAGATGGTAAAGCTGCGCAGGATTTTGTTCCTTTATCATTCTCTATATAAGATGGTAAAGCTGCGCAGGATTTGGTTCCTTCTTTATCTTGCACTATAGAAGATGGTAAAGCTGTGCAGGATTCGGTTCCTTCTTTATCTTTCTCTATAGAAGATGGTAAAGCTGCGTAGGACTTGCTTCCTTATCTTGCAATATAGAAGATAGTAAAGCCACGTAGGATTTGGTTCCTTCTTTATCTTTCTCAATAGACAATAGTAAAGCTGTGCAGGATTTCATTCCTTTATTTTGTGCTATAGAAGATGGTATGGTTGCACAGGGTTGGTTTTTTCTTTATCTTGCTCTATAGACATGTTAAAGCTACACTGGATTTAGTTTCTTCTTTATCCTGCTCTACAGAAGGTGCATAAGATTTGGTTCCTTCTTTCTTTTGTTCTGTAGAAGATGGTAAAGCTGCGCAGTGTTGGTTCCTTCTTTATCCTCCTCTGTAGACATGTGAAAGCTGCGCAGGATTTGGTTCCTTCTTTATCTTGCTCTATAGAAGATGGTAAAGCTGCGCAGGAATTGGTTCCTTCTTTCTCTTGTCCTATAGAAGATAGTAAAGCTGTGTAGGGTTGGTTTCTTCTTTGTCTTGCTCTATAGAAGGTGGTAAAGCTGTGTAAGATTTGGTTCCTTCCTTATCTTGTTCTATAGAAGATGGTAAGGCTGCACAGGACTTTGTTCCTTCTTTTACTTGCACTATAGTAGATGGTAAAGCCACGTAGGATTTGGTTCCTTCTTTCTCTTGTTCTATAGAAGATAGTAAAGCTGTGCAGGGTTGGTTCTTTCTTTATCTTGTTCTGTAGAAGATAGTAAAGCTGCGCAGGGTTGGTTCTTTCTTTCTCTTGTTCTATAGAAGATAGTAAAGCTGCGTAGGGTTGGTTCTTTCTTTATCTTGTTCTATAGAAGATAGTAAAGCTGCACAGGGTTGGTTCTTTCTTTCTCTTATTCTGTAGAAGATATTAAGGCTGTAGAAGGTTGGTTTCTTCTTTATCCTGCTCTATATACATGGTATGGGTGTGCATGATTGGGTTCCTCATTCTGTTCTATAGAAATGGTAAAGCTCTGCAGGTTGGTTTATTTTTGTTTCTTTTTGTTGTTCTTGTTCCTTTTTCTTCTCTTCTATAGACATAGTTGTTTCTCTCTTTATCTTGCTCTATAGGAAGAGTAATGCTGTGCAGAGTTAGTTTCTTCTTTTCCTTGTTCTGCCAACATGGTATGGCTGCCCAGAATTGCATTGGCTTTTTTTGCTGCCACATCACACCATTGGCCCATGTGTATCCAGTGTTCTATTATGACTTATGTGAAATAGTAGTTTCACAAGCTCAAACGAGTCATGGGTTTCTTTCTGTATCTCTCCCAGTTTATTCCCGCTGCAAGATTTTGCGTTGCAACTCCGAGTACGTGGCCTCCACCCTCAACCTGCGTGGCCCCAACAAGAGCATTGCTTACTGCAACGCCCTGCGCTCCTATGCCCGCTGCACCCGCCGGACGGCCCACGCCTGCCGCGGAGACCTGGCCTACCATTCCGCCGTCCACGGCATCGAGGACCTCATGACCCAGAACCGGTGCTCGAAGGAAGGACCCACCTCCCCAACCCGGCCCCAGACCCCGACCCCCAACCACCAGGGCACGGCTTCCCTGGACCTCTGTGACTACGAGAAGAGCTTTGCCCAAAAGCATGGCCACCTCCCTAACTACCAGCACTGTGCCATGTTTGGGGACCCCCATGTTCGGACATTCGGGGATGAGTTCCACACCTGCCGAATAGAGGGCTCATGGCCGCTCCTGGACAACAATTACTTGTTTGCTCAAGCCACCAGTTACCCGGTAGCAAAAGGATCCAATGCCACCGCTACTGGAAAGGTAAATATGAAATTCAGTGTCCACCACGGGGCTGATGGGTTTTGGAGTCCTTGGTGCATATCCTCCAACATTCCCCTAATGAAAAATGGGACACATATGAGATCTGAGTAGGGTCAAGATGGGGGTAAACTATTCATGCTAGGAGAGGCTGCAGTTGTTTGCTTTTGCCTAAGCCAGCTGGGAAGAGCAAGACTGCTTCCTCCCTGCTGAGTTAATTGAGCGCAAACGCCTTTTGCTTTTTGCATTCAGTTTGCAGCAACAGAAGCAATAGGAGGTTGTTCCTATTATAACTATTATTATAATTATTAGAAAGGCTGGGTGGCTATCTGTTGTGCTTTTCCTGGATGGCAGAAGGGGGTTGGAATGGATGGCTCCTGGAGTTGCTCCTATTAACTTTGTTGTTGGGTTGTTGTAGGGTTGTTGTAGGTTTTTTCAGGCTGTATGGCCATGTTCTAGAGGCATTCTCTCCTGACGTTTCGCCTGCATCTATGGCAAGCATCCTCAGAAAATCCAACAAATGCTCCGTTCAGCAAAGGACAAGAGGGATCCTCTCGCTTCTGCAAGAGTCTACCGTATACCATGCAGCTGTGGACAAGTCTACACAGGGACCACCAAATGCAGTATTGCCCAAACCCGAATCAAGGAACATGAAAGGCACTGCAGACTAATTCTGAAATGGCAAAAAGAAGGTTTGAGGAAAAGAGACAAAGAGAGTTCTCGAGGTCTGAAAAAGCACGGTTTTATTACCAGCTGGGACCCTGGAGTGGAGCTGTGTCCAAAATCAACCAGAGTGCCCGATAAAGGCGCTGACTGCCTTTTATACACTTCAAATGCAGGCAAACAAAGAAACATGCTTCTACATACATTGACATCATTCTCTGTGTCACTTTAGCATCACAGAAATATCAAATTCTATCTTCCACCATACAAAAGGCATGTCTGTATTTCTTTCTAAATAGCAGCATACAGCTTACAGCTTACATTCATCAATCAAGGGGCCTACTTTGACTTGTCAGGAGAGAGGTGGATAGGCTCCTTACTTAGAAGTTAGATGCTGGGCTTTGTTGTACCAATCTCTGTCTCTGGAATGTATAGATAACATGTCCCACTCTTCTCCCCCTTTCAACATTCCTTCTCTGTCTTGCTGGCTTTCTTACACAGAGAGAACCTGATTTTTCTATGCATTTCAGTTCTTGTAATGTACATACAATATATGCATAAATAAATATCTATTATTCCAATATCTCCCCATCACTTCAACCAGAGAAGTCAGTCATAGCAGAGCACATGATGAACCAACCTGGACACAGCCTATTATTTGAGAACACAGAAATGCTGGACCACTCTCACAACCACCATGTCAGACTACACAGAGAAGCCACTGAAATCCATAAGCATGTGGACAATTTCAGCAGAAAGAAGGAAACAATGAAAATGAACAAAATCTGGCTATTTAAAAACTCTAAAATTACAACAGCAAAACAACAGAGAGGAAAAAATCAGGGATAGCTAATCACCTCTCAACAAAGGATTGCCCCAGGCACTAACAAGCCACACACACACACACACACACAAACTTCCAGGCCATCGAATGGTAATCAAGGTGGTCAGTTGAAACATTCACACCTAGCTCCAGCAGACAAGCATTCTTTGTCATTCCACAGATATATAAACCCAATTTTCCTAGTTCCAACAGACCTCACAACCTCTGAGGATGCTTGCCATAGATGCAGGCGAAGCGTCAGGAGACAATGCCTCTAGAACATGGCCCTATAGCCCGAAAAAACCTACAACAACCCAGTGATTCTGGCCATGAAAGCCTTCGACAATATAATAATAATAATAATAATAATAATAATAATAATAATAATAGACACTTGAGGAAGTGTTTGACGAGTACTGAATACAAAAGCCAGCATAGTGATCTTGTTTGCTGTGTACTAATCTTGTGTATCAAATAATAATAATAATAATAATAATAATAATAATAGCAGAAATGCAAGGGGCCATTGCAGAGCTTTGCGGAGCCTCAAGGTCTCCCTGGAGGACACTTTGAGAACTGCTAATCTGAACAATTTAGAAACATCTTGGCTTTTCTAGCTCTTGCATGACGCCCTTGGTTCATGTTCTGCTTGTGGTCTTCTAAGATGCCTAGATCCCTTTCACATGGATGGTTGTCTCCTTTCTTTCTCTGCAGCTGACCATCATATTCAAGAACATGAAGGAGTGCATCGACCAGAAGGTCTACAAAGCAGAGGTGGACAACCTGCCGGCGGCTTTCGAGGACGGTTCGGTCAACGGCGGGGAGAGGCCTAGTGGGACCAGCTTGAGCATCCACGAACGCATCCCCGGGCGCCACGTGGAGATCCGTGCGGCCTACATCGGCACCACCATCGCCGTGCGCCAGGCAGGGAGACAGCTCTCTTTCTCCATCCGAGCGGCCGAGGAGGTGGCCCGGTCCTTCACGGAGGAGCAGGACCTCCAGCTGTGCGTTGGGGGCTGCCCCCTTAGCCAGCGCATCTCCCGGAATGAGTGCTGTTGCGACGGTCGGGCCGCCATCCCTGCGGAGAAGGCCCACCAGCTGTGCAAGGAAAAGTTGCCGGTGGAGGACCTCTACTTCCAGTCATGTGTCTTCGACGTCGTCACTTCGGGAGATGCCAACTTCACCTTGGCGGCACACGGCGCATTGGAGGATGCCAAAGTCTTCCACCCGGATGCCAGGAAGCTCCACCTTTTCCAAAACAACACAGCTGACCATCCTATGGGCCCATCTTTCTCGGTCCTTGTTGCATTGGTGATTTTGCTTTCTCAATGAATTGGGGATTCGTTGCACCAAAAAGCCACATCAATGTGGAGAGAATGCAACCTCCTGGAAGAAGGGGTTAACCATGAGCGGGAGAGTTTTAAGAATGGACTGAGATACCAAAATTGAACATTATTTGAGTGAGGACCTTCTGGTAGAATTGCAACTGGTTTGGGACCTTCTCGGATCATCTGGAGATGTTGAACAATGCAGACAAATTCTAATTTTCTCACCATCAGGGTCTTTCTTAACTCATTTTGGATGGAAAAAGTACTCCGCAGCCATCCAAGGAAACTGACTCCCAAAGGACTGCATACAGTTATTAATGTATTGTGCAAAGCCAAGGCTTCTTGGAAGGTGCCCCGTCCTTCATTGCAATTGTCTGATGGTCCCCCCAGCCTTTTCTAACCCAAATGGAAACACATCAAACTGCAGAATGATATATGGCATCGTGAGGAGTGTCCAAGGGAATGGGAAACGGTTTTCCAACCTTTTCCCCTTCTATCCAGGACAGTGTTTCTCAACCTAGGGGTCGGACCCCTGGAGGGGTCTCCACAGACCATCAGAAAACACAGTATTTTCTGTTGGTCATGGGGGTTCTGTGTGCCAAGTTTGGGTCAATTCCACCATTGGTGAAGTTCTGAATGCTCTTTGATTGTGGGTAAACTATAAGTCCCAGCAACTACAACTCACAAATGTCAAGGTCTATTTTCCCCAAACTCCACCAGTATTCACATTTGAGCATATTGAGTCTTCATGCCAAGTTTGGTTTGGATCCATCATTGTTTGAGTCTATAGTGCTCTCTGGGTGTAGGTGAACTGCAACTCCCAAACTCAAAGTCAATGCCCACCAAATACTTCCAAGTGTTTTCTGTTGGTTCTGGGGGTTCTGGGTGCCAAGATTGGTTCAATTCCATCATGGGTGGAATTCAGAATGCTCTCTGATTGTAGGTGAACTATAAATCCCAGAAACTACAACTCCCAAATGTCAAGGTCTATTTCCCCCAAACTCCACCAGTGTTCACATTTGGGCATAATCATTGTTTGAGTACACAGTGCTCTCTGGATGAAGGTGAACTACAACTCCAAAACTCAAGGTCAATGGCCCACCAAACCCTTCCAGTATTTTCTCTTTGTCATTGGAGTTCTATGTGCCAAGATTTGGTTCAGTTCCATCGTTGATGGTGTTCATAATTCTCTTTGATTGTAGGTGAACTATAAATCCCAGCAACTACAACTCCCAAATGTCAAGGTTTTTCCCCAAACTCCACCAGTGTTCACATTTGGGCATATTGAGTATTTGTGCCAAGTTTGGTCCAGATCCATTATTGTTTGAGTCTCTGGATGTAGGTGAACTACAACTCCAAAACTCAAGGTCAATGCCCACCAAACCCTTCCAGGATTTTCTGTTGGTTATGGGAGTTCTGTGTGTCAAGTTTGGTTCAATTCCATTGGTGGAGTTCAGAATGCTCTTTGATTGTAGGTGAACTATAAATCCCAGCAACTACAACTCCCAAATGACAAAATCAATTTCCCCAAACCCCACCAGTATTCAAATTTGGGTGTATTGGGTATTTGTGCCAAATTTGGTCCAGTGAATGAAAATACATCCTGAATATCAGATATTTACATGACGATTCATAACATTAGCAAAATGACAGTTATGAAGTAGCAATGAAAATAATTTTATGGTTGGGGGTCACCACAACATGAGGAACTGTATTAAGGGGTCGCGGCATTAGGAAGGTTGAGAAACACTGCTCTAAAGGGTGCCAATGTTTGGCAATTTACGAGAGGCTGAAAGGCCTTGGCATTGCCAATCTGGAAGTTGTTGGAAGAATTCCCCACATCCACATCGAGGACTGGGAAAAGTATTCAAGAATGTATATGGAAAAAAAGAGAAAGATTTAATATATTAAAGCTGAAGAGTTTTAAGATCGGAAAGAGATGTCGTGTCATTTCATAGCTACTGAATATTTTTGATCCAAAATAGAAAACAGGCTGAAAGTCAGAACAATAATAACAAGAGAAAATTGCAAAAGTAAGAGGGTGATTTATCCGTCCACAATCTCATCGTAGAATGAATGCAGTTTCATAGAATCGTAGAGTTGGAAGAGACCTCATGGGCCATCCAGTCCAACCCCATTCTGCCAAGAAGCAGGAATATTGCATTCAAATCACCCCCGACAGATGGCCATCCAGCCTCTGTTTAAAAGCTTCCAAAGAAGGAGCCTCCACCACACTCCGGGGCAGAGAGTTCCACTGCTGAATGGCTCTCACAGTCAGGAAGTTCTTCATGTTCAGATGGAATCGCCTTTCTTAGAGTTTGAAGCCATTGTTCCGCGTCGTAGTCTCCAGAGCAGCAGAAAGCAAGCTTGCTCCCTCCTCCCTATGTTTTCCTCTCACATATTTATACAATGCCCTCATCATGTCTCCTCTCAGCCTTCTCTTCTTCAGGCTAAACATGCCCAGCTCTTTAAGCCGCTCCTCATAGGGCTTGTTCTCCAGACCCTTGCTCATTTTAGTCGCCCTCCTCTGGACACATCCCAGCTTGTCAACTCTCACGTATTTATACATGGCTATCACGTCTCCTCTCAGCTTTCTCTTCTTCATGCGAAACATGCCCAGCTCTTTAAGCCGCTCCTCATAGGGCTTGTTCTCCAGACCCTTGATCATTTTAGCCGTCCCCCTCTGGACACATTCCAGCTTGTCAACTCTCATGTATTTATACATGGCTATCATGTCTCCTCTTGAAATGGCAGGGAGAAGGTTTCAGGAAAAGAGACAAAGAGAGTTCCGGAGGTCTAAAAAGCACAGATTTATTTCCAGCTGGGGACCTGGAGTGGACTTGCGTCCAAAAGCAAACCAGAGCAATGATAGAGGCGTTTGACTGTGCCTTTATACCTTTCAGATTCAAGCAAACAAAGAACATGCTTCTACATATATTAACGTCACTCACTGTGTCACCTTAGCATCAAATTCTATCTTCTAACATGCAAAAGGCATGTCTATATTTTTAGGAGCAGCTTACATTCATCAGTCAAGGGGCCCACTTGGACCTGTCAGGAGAGAGAGGGGGGGGGGCTCCTTTTAGAGCCTAGTTATACCAGCTAGGACAGGCTTATCTCTCTCCTGGAATGTATAGATAACACTTGCTTCAGCATTCTTTCTAATACAGAGAGAACTTGATTTTTCTATATATTTCAGTGCTTGTAAAATACATACAATTTATAAATCAATAAATCAATATCTATTTTTCCAATATCTCCTCATCAATCTCATCCCTCTCTTCTTCAGGCTAAACATGCCCAGATCTTTAAGCTGCTCCTCATAGGGCTTGTTCTCCAGACCCTTGCTCATTTGAGTCACCCTCCTCTGGACACATTCCAGCTTGTCAACTCTCACGTATTTATACATGGCTATCATATCTCCTCTCAGCTTTCTCTTCTTCAGGCTAAACATGCCCAGCTCTTTAAGCCGCTCCTCATAGGGCTTGTTCTCCAGACCTTGATCATTTGAGTCGTCCCTCCCTATGACTTCCCCTCACATATTTATACATGGCTATCATGTCTCCTCTCAGTATTCTCTCCTGCAGGCTAAACATGCCCAGCTCTTTAAGCCTTTCCTCATAAGGATTGTTTTCCAGACCCTTGATCATTTTAATCACTCTTCTCTGGACACATTCCAGCTTGTCAACGTCTCCCTTCAATTGTGGTGCCCAGAATTGGACACAGTATTCCAAGTGTGGTCTAACCAAGATGGAATAGAGCATGGGGGGCATGACTTCCCGGGATTCTAGACACTATAGAGGCCTAAATCCCATTGGTTGTTTTTTGCCGCTGCATCACATTGTTGGCTCATGTTTAGCTTGTTGTCTGCAAGGACTCCAAGATCTTTTTCACATGTACTGCTCTTGAGACACGCATCGTCCCCCATTCTGTATCTTTGCATTTCGTTTTTAATGCCTAAGTGGAGTCTCTTGCATTTGACCCAGTTTGATATACTTATTGCTATTATTATTACTAGCTTGGCTTCCCGACGTTTGGAAAAATCCATTTTTTAATTGCACAAAATGCATAAGGTTGTGTGTGAACTACAACTCCCATCATGCCAGGCTAACCCTGAGAAACTCCACCAGTACTATGTTGGGCAAGTTTGCTCGAGATGCATCCTTGATGGGGATGGATGTTGACCTTGTTAATCCACAAACGCTTGGCATGAGAAATGGCATCTATTTTCGAAACCCTCGTTTCCTGTCATCTGTTTCTCATTGAAGCAAGCCGGCGTGCAACAGGTGAAGCTAAAAATAACTGTGGTCTCTCCTCTTTCAATCCAAACACATACATACATATATATACATATGTACAATGGCTGGGGAGAAAGGGGAAGGGGTCCCGACAATACATAAACAAAGGTATATAGGCTTTCCCGTCTTTTGTCATTTCCGGCATCTGGAGGCTGTGCTCGACTCCGGCCACAAGAGGGTGCTGTTGCTTTGTTGTCAGTAGCCATCCTCCCGAACGAATCACCGGCATGTCCTTATGGGCACCTTCTATTACCTCCCCCTTAAAGCAGTACCTATTTATCTACCCACATTTCTGCTAGGTGAGCAGAAGCTGCAGCTGACGGTGGGCGCTCACCCCCATCCAAGCTTGAAATGCCAACTGTTCGATCGGGTAGGATTTTCTGCAGCTAGCTGTTAACCCGCTGTGCTAAGCTTGGCCCACCTCTGTTTTAGATCTGCTAGGTGAGCAGAAGCTGGGGCTGATGGCGGGCACTCATCCCGATCCAAGCTTGAAATGCCAACCGTTCAATCTGGTAGGATTTTCTGCAGCTAGCTGTTAACCCGCTGTGCTAAGCCTGGCCCCTCTGGAATACCTCTGTTTCTGATCTGCTAGGTGAGCAGAAGCTGGGGCTGATGGCAGGCACTCACCGTGATCCAAGCTTGAAATGCCAACCTTTTGATTGGCAGGATTTTCTGTAGCTGGCGGTTAACCCGCTGTGCTAAGCCTGGTCCCTATGTAATACCTCTGTTTTCGATCTGCTAGGTGAGCAG